GAGAAGCCTAACACTGCAGCAGGGGCTGTAGGTGGTCCCAATATAGGGGGATGGACAAGGCACAATTTGAAAACTTCACTGCCTTGCAGAGTTAAGAGTGTGGTCCAGAGATCTGGGGTGCTATAAGAGCAAAAGTGGACCTGTGCCTATGGCTACAGAGTGAACAGGTTGTGGGGTCCAAGAGATTGGAGTTGCTCAGGTTGTAGGGGAGTCAAGGTGCTGTGGGTGAGATTAGACTTACCAGGGAAGAAGGCTGGTCTCTGGAGTCCCAGGCAAGTTGGGGGTGGGGACAGCCAGGATAGAAGGTTGGTCTCAGATATGCAAAGTCAGGTTTGGAGACTGGCTGTGAAGGCTCTAAGAAACTAGACTGAAAAATTGAACTGGTCTGGGTGCAGGGGATCAGGATGCAGTGGGTGGGTCTGGACTAAGAGTGTAGTCCAGAAATCTGGTGTACTAACAGTAGAAGCAGGCCTGTGCCAAAGGCTGGAAGAACAGGATGTGGGGATGGGGCAGGTTATTAATTTTAAATCTCTGATTTTTTTTAATGTTCACAGCTATAACAATTCCTCCAAGAGCTGCTTTTGCTATATCCCAAAGGTTGTGATAAGGTTGTGTGTTCATTTTTATTTTATTTTAGGAGATTTAAAATTTTTCCCTGATTTCTTCAATGACCACTGATCACTCAGAGTGTATTTTTCAATCTCCATGCACTTGTGTAGTTTCTAAAATTTCTCTTGCTATTGACTTATAGTTTTATTCCACTATGATCTAATAAGGTACAAGAAGTTTATTTATTTAATATTTATTATAACTTCTTTATGACTTAAAATGTGATCTATAGAGAAACTTTAGAGAAAGGTCCCTGGCTCGCTGAGAAGTCTGTATAGGTGTTGAGTGGGCTGTTCAATAGCTGACTATCCAGTCAATTTGATGTATGCTGAATTTTAACTCTGAAGATTCTTTGTTGATTTAGTAACTGGATGATTTATCTAGTGATAAGAGTAGGACATTGAATTCATCCACTATTAATATATGAATTTATATTTTTATGTCCAGTAGTGTTTATTTTGTGGAAACCAGTGATCCAACATTTGGTGTGTGTATATTTACAATTATAACATTTAGATAGATTTTTTGCATTAGTGATATGTGCTGGATTTCTTTATCTGTTCTGGATAATTTTGGTTTGAAATCTACTCCTGCTTGGCTTGGGCTTCCATTTTCTTGTTTTATTGACTTCATGTGTGTGTGTGTCTTTGTCAGCGAGGTGAGTTTCTTATAGTCAAGATAGTTGGGTCTTGATTTTAATCCAATTAGATAGTCTACATCTTTTATTTTAGTGTGCGTATGTGTGTGTATGTGTACAGTGCACATGCCCTGGTGTGTAAGATTATTTACATTTATCATTATTATTGGCAGATTTTTCTGATTCCCGTAATCTGTTTCCCTGGTTGGTTCTGTTATTGTCTTTTTATTTCCCACCTTAACTATATTAGATGCTGTCTGGTTTATTGAGATGGACATGATTATTTCCTTTCTCATTATTTTTGATATTTATTCCCTCATGAAATTTACTCTTTCTTGTACTCTTATTGTTAAGATTGTCTTCCTCCTCTGTGTAATTTTTTTTTTCATGAATAAAACGGAGATGGTTTTTAAAAGGTTTTGGGGCTGGAGAGATGGCTCAGTGGTTAAGAGCACTGACTGCTCTTGCAGAGGATCTGGGTTCGATTCCTAGTACCCACATGACAGCTAACAAATTGTAACACCAATTCCCCTGTAACACCAGGGGAATCCAATGCCCTCTGCAGGCATTGCACGGAATGGGTGCACTTACACACATGCAGCAATGCCCTCAATACATGCAAAAAAAAAAATGTTTCAGGGTTGAGGAGATGGCTCAGGGGTAAAGTAAAGTGCCTACTGTGCACATATAAGCACTTGAGTGCGCACTCTGAGAACCCACATAAAACACATGTCTGAAATCCCAGGGCTTCTATGGTGAGATGGGAAATAGAGAAAGAGGAGTCTCCAGAAGGCTGTAGGCCAGCTAGCCTGGCACATGCCATGGTGAACAAGAGACCCTGTTTCAAGATGGAAGGCAAGGACCAACACCTGAGTTTGCCCTCTGTCTTCCACATGTGCACCATGACTCATACATGCCCGTGCACACACACACATATATACATATATATACATATATACCAATTCAAACATGTATTTAATGTACCTACCCTACCAGCTTAACTTCACAGTACACTGCAGAGCATTGGCTGTTTCCCCCATGATTACAGCGCTGATAGAGCTGCAGCTTCCTGCCACTGCCTAGTAACAAAAGAGAGCATGGTGCTGTATATTGCTTGCTCCAGGACAAACAAACAGATTAAAAACTTGAAGTGTGGTTTCTCCTAAATATATATTGGTTTTTAAGCATCATAAAATTGGGAAACCACAAGTTCAAAAATCATGACAAGAACAATCTGTTCAGTCTCCCCTCCACTCATCGGAAAAGCTTATAGGGGTCTGCAAGCCTAGGCCTTTCGTATGTACAATATGGAGGCCTCCAGCCAGTTTGTCTGCCTTTCCCAGGATGCTCTCAACACTCTTTAGGTGTTTATGACATTACCTTCCTTGAACCATGGCTGATTGTTCATTGTCTTTGCAGCTCTGCTGAGGACAGCTATCATCTTGATACAGCACAGAGTTATCTGGGGGAGTTTTATCTGAGGAATTTGTCTCAATTAGACTAATCTGTGGGCATGTCTGTTGCTAATTGATTCAGGAGGACCCAGCTCACTGTGGGCAGTACCATCCCTGCACAGGTAGGCCTGGGATGCATAAGAAAGCTAGCTGAGCAAACCAGGAGAAGTAAGCCAGTAAGCAGTGTTCTTCCTCTTCTGCTTCAATTCCTCCTGCCTCCAGATTCCTGCCTTGAGTCCTGGCTCTGACTTTCTGACTGTGATCTCAGCTAAAAAGTCAATGAATGCTTATTTCAGGAAACATACTGTCTGACACATTTCAGGACGGTAGTCTTCCAGGTGTCATCTGTTTGACTGATGTGGAACAGACAATTCTGGAGTCCCTTCCTAGACTTCCATCCTGTACTCCAGGAAACAACTCCCTGTGGCTTAGGTATCTGGAAGCCAGACAGACAAAAACAGAGCTGGCAATTTGCCAAAATTCATACTGGGTATTTCTGGGTAACACTGACTGTAAGAAAGGAAGCCTGGCTGGTCCAGGAACATGCACCCCTGGAAGGGAACTAAGATACCTCTGAACCCTTGCACAGTGGCTTCTGTCATCCAGTGTGTGCTGGGTACAGATTATGATCAACATCACTGCTTGCGGCTTCCTGGTCTCCTCACTGGTCCAGTCCTGATAAGACACAAACCTAGTGTTCCTCATGAAGGAGCACAAGGTGGCAGGTATGAGTCTTGGGGCTGGCACGGGCACACAGGCAGTACCTTCTCAATGCTGTCCTGCCTAGAGACTGACATTTCTGCTCAGGCTCACATCCTCTGCTCCAACCTCATCATTCCCAGCATCCAGACACACAGCCTCTCCATGTTCATTTTTATTTAAAGACTCAGAAACACAGGCATCATAGTTTATCACTACTGTCAATTCATCCAAAATCACACAGTGACATTGGTATATAATAGAAAACATTTTATGTGTGTGAATTGTGCAAAGTACAAAGATTTCCCAGGTGGTCTGCTGGAATGGTTTTGGGGTGCCTAGCCTGGCTTTCACGCCCCACTACAGACCATCCTGTCTGCGTCCCATGATCCTTCTGTCTTCTGGAGACCGGGCTATCCTGTTTCCTTGGTGACCAGTTATCTTACTAAGTGCTGTGAACTATTTAAGAAAATCACCTTGACCACCAGATGCCACTGCATAACTAAGAAGTATATGTTACAGGCCAGGATGGAATTCAAAGGTTCCAGACGAGGTGCTGGCTTCATCTTGGTAGGCAAGACATGTGTCCTTGAGGGAAAGGTGACCTCAGGAAAAGGACTTCTCTCCTGCTCTTGCCTGTGGAATACATGTTTTTGAATGCCACAGGACCTGACAGTGTTCAAAATAATCAGGACACAGTTCTGGCTATGTCTTTCAAAGATCCCCACCTAAGAATGAGCCCTGGGGCCGCATTCTTCTCCCCAAGGTGGTTCCAGTGTCCATCTTTGACTCTGCTAGCAGAGGGGCCAGCTCATGTTCTCCAAAGATATCTTCCTACCTGCCCCAGCTCTTTCTCAACCTGTTACCTTCTTATCATTAAACGGCTGGGCACATTCCTATGGAGAACGCCATGTGGGGACAGGCTGGGAGAAGAAAGTAGGTCCACATTAGTCTATCCTATTGGCTGAGAACTACTTTCCTTTAAGGAAAAATAAAAGACTATTTTACTATTTGGAAACTCAGGCCAGTTCTGATTCCACTGAAAACACATCTCTCCCAGGGTGTAAATCTGTGGGCTTCCTTGATGGCAGCATGAATTTAAATATACCTGGGTCTTTTGTGCATGGGTGGGCAAGTAATTTGTCAGTGAGTGACTAAATACCTTCCGGTTGTCACTAACCTCCACATACAGGAATCGCTATGCCAAAGTTCCTCTTTGGCTCAGAATAATTTTCTTATGTCCAATAAGTCTATTATCATCTGGAGGAAGGAAGACTTTCTCTAGGTGTCATTACTTCCACTCTTTCATATGACAGCCACCTGGAAGTCACAACTAGCTAAACTCTGTTCCCACATAGGGACTTTGAAGATAAGTGTCCTTGTTTTATCCTGAAAACCAACCCTAGCCTCTGCAACCAAAGGCTAATTGTTCAGCCTAACTTGGGTCTGAGTGCGTTTGTAAAAATGCATACAGAGGCTCACAAATTGCTAGTTTTAAAAAATATTCTATTTTTATTTTATGTGTATGCCTGTATTGCCTGCATGTAGGTAAGTGCACTCGTGTCATGCAATGCCCGTGGAGACAGAAGAGGCTGTTGGATCCCCTGGAACTGGAGTTATGGGACAGTTGTTAGCTGTCATTTGGGTGCTGGGATTAAAACCCAGGTCTTCTGCAAGAACAGCCAGTGTTCTTAACCGCTAAGCCATTTGTCTCCAGCCCCACAAATGACAAAAATGTGTTCCTGAAGTGTGAATCTCACACTTGCTGACAGAGCCCTTCAGGGCCAGCTTCTTAGGAAGCAAGCTTTGTGCCAATGGATTTATGGGAAGGCCTTGGGATCAAACGAGCCCTTCCCCTCTCCCTTTGCAGCAGCTCAGGCCCTACAAGCTGTAGCCATGCCTCAGATTCTTGTTCTCACTGTACCTTTGGTCTCTAGAACAGAAACCAAATTTGCAAGGTGGTGATCAGGGTTGTGGTAAAACTATGTTTTGATGGGAAGAAATTTTTTTAAGATGTTAGCTGTAGTCATTCTCTCTGATGCAATCAAAGGAAGTTTCTTTTTCCTAGGCTGGGGCCAACCCGCATGCTCTTTTTACGGCCACATGGGAGGGCAGGATCCCTGAAAGTTTCTAGTTCTGGGAATCATGATCATTCCTCTCTAGGTAGTGCTGGGCGTTTAGGCTGTCTCCAGTTCCCTGCAACCATCTCAGCAGACCCTCACACCTCACGGAACACTGGCCAACAATCTCATGTTGAGGACAGGAACTCCTCAGTGTGCACCAAACTTCATATGGAAAATATATAAAACTTCCCTTTGATGTCACCTCAGACACTTTTTCTTTGAAGCTTACCCAAATAATTTCTAGTTTTACAAAAAATCAGCACCAGATGTATGAAAAATAGGCAATGTCTGACCTATTAGAAATATATAAAGTCTAAGGGTTGTACATTAAAAAGATGCCATAGGAAGGAAGCAATTCAGAGAGACATTGGTGGTGAAACAGAAGGTGTTCCTTATAATCCTGGCAGGAGACAAAGCCTCAGGGATTCTGCTCTAGTGCCCAACAGGACCCCACTGGCACACTATGGGAGATTCACAGGCCTCATATGAGGCTTCTGAACCATAAATGCCCTTGCTACTGGCCCAGTGGTGGGTGACCGAGGTATATAGAGTGATGATGCCCAGAGCAGCCAGGAAAGACATTTTTCATTGCTATCAGCCCCAGCCCATGGCCCAGCCCTGTAGCCTCCCCAGCTCCCAACCTTGCACAGACAGCTAGTACCACTTCAACTGCTGGATGGCATATAGGTGCCTTTGCCCATGTGGTTAACTTCTCTGTCCTGATGCTCATTCAGATTCATCGCATGATCTTGAAGGACACCCATGTGTGCTTTTGGTTAGGGCTTCTTCACATGAAAGCTCAACTTTCACAATCAAGACCCTGCCCCAGTCCAGTTTTCTTGACAGGTGCCTTAGAAAGGCCCTGGACCCTAGGCGGTGAGGCTGCCTCTACTGGCAGGGCTGGGCAGGAGCAGTAGCCCTCAGAAGCTCTCCACAAAGCTGCCTGGGAAGAGGCCTGTACGGCCATTCCGTTGCAGAGTCCCCTTGAACCAGCCGTCCTCACGCTTCTTGTGCACGAAGACAATATCACCTTCTTTGAGCTCAATCTCTGCTTCGCTCTGTGGAGGGTAGGAGACCACCACACGGTACCTGGGAGGACAGAAGGCACAGCGTGTAAGCCTAGAAACAGGTTGCACCTTCTGTGCCCTTGCAGCCCACCTGCCCACTCCTGGTTCTCTCTTCCCTCTTCCTCTCTCTATGAAAATTCTTACAATTTGGGGTTACTTTTCAGTTTGTAAAATTTTTTTGATTTATTTATTTTTATTTTATGTGCACCTGTGTCATGCAGTGCCTACAGGGGGCAGAAAGGGTTGTCAGATTCCTGGAACTGGAGTCACGGATGGTTGTTAGTTGCTACTGTGGGTGCTGGGATTCAAACCCAGGTCTTCTGCAAGAACAGCCACTGCTCTTAACTGCTGAGCCATCTCTCCAAGCCTAAGTTTGTAAAATTTTTTATTTATGTTTAATTTTTTTCCAACCCCCTTTTTTCATTTGTTGTCTAATTTCCCTATGAGTTATTGTTCAGGGAATTGCCAGGGTGGTTGGTCACCAGAACCAGCTAGTAGGACCACATGCTTTCACTGTAGGACCCAGAAAAATCATGCTGGGACTAGAGGGCAATTTCCTTTCTATTGGCAAGCCCTCACAGTGCCTGAAGGTACAATGCTGTGCAGGCTGCTGAGGGAGAATTGGCATCAGCAGTCTTACTTGCTGTGGACTCTGCATACTACACTACCAACTGGCCAAGCAAGATGCGTCAACGGGTGCAATAGTGGCAAGTCTACTATAAGGGTAACTAACCAGTTTCTGCTTAGAATTGAGGCCCGCTCCACAGGAGGGAATTTATGTCTTATATTGCAAACCTGGTCAAATGCAATGACTGGAGAGGTCATAGGCTCTAGTGAGGAAGCTACAGTTGTTTTGTTAAATGGACATGGTGTGCTCATCAAATTGCCTTCTAAATAATTATATTATTATGTTTATCTCCATAGATGAGTGCTTCTGCCAGGTTTGTTTGTTTGTTTGTTTGAACAGTGGCCAGTGATAACTGCAGAGACTCACACTTGGTCACAATGCTGAGGATAAGAAACAGTTAGATGCTCAGCCACAAATGAGACATCTATATCACATGGAAGAGAGGGAAGAAAGAATGCGGGAGCTGGAGGATATTGTGGGATGCTATCTTTTGGGCATGGCTCTTTAAAATTTTATTTTGATCCTTTGACAGTTTCATATAAGTACACAATGAATTTTAGGCTTTCTCACTCCCTATTGCCTTGCATTATTCCTCCCCTCTTTCCTCTCCACAAGTCCCCTTCCAACTTTCACATCTTGTTTGCATGTGAGACCAACCCACTGAGTTTCATAGATTTGGCCTGTGTCACTCTTGAATTCTTGATTCTTGTGATCACCTGCGCAAGGGTATTGTCACAGGGTGTTATCAATAGGATGTTGGAAGGGGAATTCAGAAGGCCCCATTCATCTCTGAGGATTTACTGGCAGTTAATGGATGCTGGGAGAGGGAGAGAGATTTTCTTCATGATGTGGCCACTGGTAAGGTACCCATGTGCCTATAAATAACCTCTGAGCCATGCTATTATAAACAACCCTAATGAAACTCATTCAGTCTCCAAAAAGAAACCAAGAAAGGCAAGAAAGTAGAAGGGAGGACTTGTTGGGAAGAGGAAGGGAATCAGGGAATGGGAGGACAAAACAGGGGAAGGGGTGGCTAAATATCAAAATGCATTATACTTATGTATGAAAATGCCACAATGAAATTTGGTATTATGTATAATTAACATATGTTGACAAAACTTTTTAAGAGAGATTTTTCTTTGTGTTCTTTGGGCCACAGACTCAAGATACAGCCATTTTCTTGTTTAGTTGCCAGATCCCTACCTAGCCTCTCCACTTCCCATATTCCTGCCCACCTGCCCTGGTCTTACATCAGGAGGTATACCTGGGCCTAAAGCACCTCGTGGTGGTACCTTGTTAGAGCTCCAGGCTCTGAGGTGAGTAGAAACTGCTTCAGTCCTGGGGCACAGGCTAGGGACTTGGCTTGCTCTTTTCTGGATTTGTGACCCTGGGATTTTGTCATAACTTGTCTGTGTGCCAGTTTCCTCATCTCTAAAACAAGGTTCTTCACCTGGGCTACCACCTTTCATGGGGAAGTGGATGGGGCCCCACCTAGTCTGAAAAGTGTTTTGAAAGTTGTTTTGGTCAAATGCTCATTATTTTTAAATGTGCTCCCCAAATCAAAAAATATACAACCTGAGGCCTGAACAGCCTGAGGTCACATCATCAGTGCTAACAAAGCCCATTTCTCCCATACATCATTTTCCACAAGACTTGGGCACACCCTGTAGCCTCCAAGGCCTGAAGTCCTTTTTGGACCACTATAATATAAACCAAAACCAGATACAGGACCTTCTCTGTTTCTGCCTGCCAGCTGCCTGGGGGCATGCAGCTCTTCCAGTTCCAACCAGGTGAAGCTGTGAGAGGGCTCTAAGCAGTGACAGGCTTGCCTAGATATGAGACTACCTCCTTTTCAAGGACCCAGAGCCTTGGGGACCACATAGGCCAGGCCTGACTAGGCTGTGGTCCTAATAACACTCCTTCACCAACTCCAGCCCTCTTGAGCCCTCTGGGACTTCATCTTTCTAAGCCTTTCCTTGTCCTATAAAGGCTTGAATAAACACAGCTTCTAGCAGCTCGAGGCTGAGTTTCTAAGATGCTCCTTGTCTCACTTAATGTTCCTTCCTGAAAACCCTCAGATTTGCCAGAGCTACTCTTTGTTCCAGCAAAATAGGGATCAAGACCTTTTGACCTCTGAATGAGGGCAGTCCCCATTTCACTCCAGATTCCAGCCTAGATGCCCTCTCAGGGACCAACACCCCTTCTGCTTCCTGTGAATGTTCGCTTCTGACTCTCCTGAGTCCCCACTCATCCCTGTTCCTTAGAAATGCCTAGTCACTTGGGTGTAAACTTGGTTTCTATTCATGCCAGACTCTTCCCTACTACAAAGTATATTGTGTTACTGATGGCAATATGTGCAGGAGGAAAGAGGGTGGAGTGGCTATATTCCCCTGAGGACCAGCCACCTTCTCTGTGCCTGCTCTGGTGCCCACTCTTCACAGTCCCTGCTTGGCAGGATGTTCCTACCCCTACCTTCTGCTTCTGGGCCCCTATGGTACTGAAGGAGCTTTGCAGGACATATGTGCCTGATAACTACATCCTTGGGCCCTTAGGGCAGGTGACAGTCACTTCTGCAGCAAAGTGGAAAATGGCCCCGGGTCATTTATTGTGTTGTGTGTCCTAGTTTCTATACACCAGAATCAGAGGCTCTGGACACTGAGTCCCCTGAGCATCTCTTAGCACAGCCAGCTGCTGGGATGATGATGGCCTCTTTCAGGATCTCCATTGGTGTGGCTGTGGGTGGGCTGGGGACAGCCCAAGGAAGATAAAAGGTGAAGGGGCAGCTCACCGCCCTCAAACCTGAGCTGATAGGCCAGCTTCAGGCCCTGTCACCATCACAGTGTGAGGTGACAGCAGTACTGGCCTCTTTATTCTACCCCTTCTCCATGTAGAGAACACTAGGAAATGTGATTTTAGGTCAAATCCTGGGCCTCTGGGGCCCCCAGCACAGGTCTCAACTGCCAGTTTTTATATCCTTAGAGGGGATTTCTTCAGAAAGGACCTTCATGTAGCAGTCTAGGAAGACTGGTTATGGTGCTTAATCTTTATAACTCCAGGACTGGGAGGAGCTGGCCCAGACTCAGGAAGAAACCCAGGGCCTTCTCCAAAGCAAGCTGCAAAATGAGTTCCCTATACAGGCCATTAGGCCCAGAATCCCTTGCGTTCTGGGATGGAGGTACCCTAGCCTTGGTAGCTAGACCACAGTTATATCTTCAGTTCCAATCTGTCTGGGCTTCGCAGACACCTGGTAGCTCCGGGTCACTCTCTCCCCACCCACCGATGTGCAGACGGAGACTGTGATTCCTTATAGGGACTGTGACTAGCCATGATTTTAGGCTCTCTGGTCAGAAAGCCCTCAGTTAAATCTCTCATTCAGCTGCTAGCCAGCTGTGGCACCTTGAGCAAAGTTCTTACCCTTTCACAGAACATCAGTTATTTCAGCTGAAAATGAGGATGCTGAATTAATAAGGTTCCTAAGGGGGATTTAATGGATAATGCACATTGTGCACTCAGGAAATGCTGGTTTTATAGAGCTATGTGCAAAGCCAGGCTATCCTGGTGTCAATGGCAGGAACTCATGACAACTGTGAGTGCCAATCCTTCCAAGAACCCTCAGTGGATGTTAACCACTGTTACTCTAACTGTGAGTGTCAATACAGATGTACATCTTCAGTAATCATTAGACGTTAGTAACAGTGGTTCATGCTGTCCTTCTAGGGCTCTGCAGAGACTGGTCTCCCGATGATTCTGCATCACCACAGATGCATCTCAAAAGCACTAGAACTTTGGCATGTGACTGTGTGGTCTCAGAACTAAGGTTGTTATTAAAGTATGATATGGTTAAAACATAAAATGAAAGATTTCATATTAGAAAGTCACAGGAAAGCTGAATTTGATCCCTACATAGAGCTTTCTGAAGCACCAAGCTGTTTGTGTATATCTGGTCTCTGGCGGCCTTCGCACTGCACAGCGGAGGTGATGAATTACTACAGACATCCTATGGTCCACAGCATCAGTAATATTTACTATTTGACAGAAACTCTGTGTGACTCCTGATCTAGACACACCCTTGCCTGCTCAATGTCTGGCATCGGGAGCCCTGTTCTCTGAGATCAGCATGTAGGTAGGGTAGCATCTATGTTTTCTGGCTCAGATACAAGTATAGTTGATCAGGGAACGGACCAACAGAAATGCCAGAATTGCTATCTTAGGATGTGTTTCATGTTTTTATTATTTAAGCGATATTCCAATGAGTAGAGACTGGGCAGTGGTCGCATCTATCACATCTCCACAAGGTCGTCCCCTCTTGTAGTGATTAGGATACAAACTCAAACACACAGATCCACTCACTGAGATAGGAGCCCCCACCACTTGGAAAACTCAGGCATCTATTGCCCCTTAGCAGGTCACATCACTGTGTCTCAGTTTCCAAATCTGTAAAACTCAAGTTTGAACTACATGAAATTACTAGGTTGGGTTAAAAAAAAGGGGGGGGTGTATATTGGAAAATTTGAATAGTTCATTTTAATGAACTGTACACCCTTGACGCCAATGATGAGTAACATTTTATAACTAAAATTTCATAGTGTCCTGAGGTCCAAAGAACATCTGTGAGGCACAGGCCTGCAGGGGACTTGGTTGAAGGGTTAATTCTAGGGCCAGCCAGGGTTAGGAGAACCCAGTGCCCTAAATATTTGTGCTCTGAGACACACTGATTCTGATACATTTCCTCATGAATTACTTAGAAGCCCAAATTCAGGAAGCAGGCAGACTGGAAAGAAGAAATATGTTCCAGGTCCTGGATAAAGAGGGCATCTAGTAAAACCGACCCTCCGGAAACCCTATTTTACCCATTCCTCAAGAGGGCTTCAGAATTCAGGGGTTACCCTAAAAAAGTGGCCACACAGATGCAAAGCCCTCACTTCCTTACCTCTCTCTGGGTAGCGGCTTAGGCTCAGGATGGATGGCGGCCATAGATAGAGTTGCATGCCGAGAGGGGGATAAGGAGAAATTCAGATCCAAGGATCCTGCCTTTCTGTGCAGTGGCTCCAGCCCCATGGCCCCCTGCATCTCGCTCTCTATGGGGCAGGAACCTGCCCTGCCATGGATGGATACTGGGGACACTTCAGGACCCATGGCGCCTTGCAGTGAGGCATCCATGGCTGATTGGGGATCATGGGTTGGAGATACTGATGGTGGGGAGCGTGGCTTCTTCTTGGTAGATGCCCCAGCAAGCAGTTTCAGCAGCCCACTCTTCTTCTCTCTCTGCAGAAACACAAAAGATTGAAACCAAATGGGTTAGTACTTCTAGAACGCACACCATCCTATGTAGAGCTTTAAAGATAATCCCATGAAGCTGGTCAGAAGAAAACAAAGCCATCCGAAGGCTTTATTTTTCCTTTCTTTATTGAAACCTGGCAAGAGTGTCTCATCAGGCACAGGGGGCAGACTATGAACAGCTTCCATGGAACACTGCAGGCTGGAGAGCCCACAACACAGGCCTCCCCATTGCAGGACCCACAGGCAACTTCATGGCCATGTCAGAGGTGCCCAGAGTCAGTAGTGATTGCTTTGTTCTCCAGGACAGTTATTGTTTCTATTGGGGCTTCATATGAAGTTGGGGTCACACTGGAGCCTTTCTCTTCTGAGGGGAATTCTGGAGAGTCTTCATGTCCTGTGCTACTAATACCAAACAACCCTCTAAGAAAATTGCAAAAGGCTAATTGAATATGGGGCAGGGCAAGGACAGCGGCTGCAGGCAGGAGATGTGGTCAGATGTCTCCATACCAAGGAGATAAAGTAGAGCTTCTGAGCTATATCAGGAGAACATCCTGTGCACACACATAAACACACACACACACACACACACACACACACACACACACCATACAATCTACTTATAGTCCACTTTAAAAGGCTCACTACCTGGAACTCTAACATTAAAAAGAGATTTTGGAGGCCCTGGGGATATAGATCAGGGGTAGAGCACTTGACTAGAATGCAGAAGCCCCTGGGTTTCATCCCAAGCAGCTCAGAAAATATACCTTTGAAGACACTTATTCATACTGCACTTTAAGACATATAAATGATAAAATATTTTTTTATTATTAAGATTGAGACCCTCTTAATGCATTTGCTTTATGGTACACCAGTATAAAAATATATTCAAAGGAAAAAGAAATTTAAAACAAAGATCTTTTTTCATTGATAAAGGTCTTATAGAAAATTGTCACATGGAATAGAATTTGATGCTTAATAAGCAATATCAAATGTTTCAGGGATACTGTGCATTTCATCGAAATTCATTTCTTTAGTTCCTTTATTTTTTGAGAAGATATCTTGCTTTGTAGCCTAGGCTGTCCCAGAACCTTTGGTCCTCCTGCCTCATCCTCCTTAGTAGCTGGAATTACAGGCATTCACTACCACACCTGGAA